CTCCTTTTTTCAACTGCGATGAAATGATGAATTTCGTTCTTTGATACAACAAAGCTAGACTGTAATGAGATGGGATCGCCCCAATCTTAATTCCAAACTGTTTGGCTTCTCATTTCCCTGTAAATCTTCTTTTATGAAGCCTCCCTGGCTCGTTCCGTGAGTGCCGGTACGTTCTTTGATGCAAACCCTAGCTGTGATTCATTTGATTTCCTTGGATTCTTCCATGAGTTTTAAATGAGAGAGATTTCGAAAGTTTTTATTCTTTTTGGTTTTTTCTTCTTTTTTTTTTTTCTAAATTTGGGTTTTTCTGTTTTTCATTTTCCTAGGATTTGCCCGGGTTTATTGGCGGGTTTCCGCTGTTTCTTAGTTTGTGTTGTTGCTTTATTTGTGGGTATCTCATTTTTTCCCTGTTTTTGGAATATGGCGAGCATACGGTGATTCGTGTGTCTTGTCCCGGTTAAGATCTCAGCTCACGAGGTCATTTTCGAAGAATCTTTGCTTTTGATATCTTTCCTTCCCTTTTGATTGCTTCTTTTGATTATAGAATACTGAATATTTTAGCTGTTGTGTTGGGATGTCTAAATCGAATCCTTTGTTTCCTGTTACCATAAATGATGGGTGTTTTGTTAATTGTCAGAGATTTTGTTTTTCCGATTTCGGGTTTTTGGTGTTTGATGAAATGTCTAAATCAAATTCTGGGTTTGCCTTTGTTTTTCATTTGCTTCTGTGTTTAGGTCAATACCCTCTTTTGTTTTTGGCCAACAGATCAATACCCTCTTCAAGAATTCTAATATGAAAATGATAGGAATGCCCTGTTTGTGTTTTTCCCAATTCTTTTTTTTTTTTTTTAGGGATTCTTCCAGGAAATTTCTCTATATTTGACAATAAAAATATTGTTATATTTTAATTTCATTTTCAGGTCTCTTATTTGTTGTTAAGAAAGTATAATTTTTTGAGGAAGAATTTTCTGATGTATCTGATGTCACTGTCTTATGGCTGCTGTTGAACTTTAGACTAGTAGGAAGACTAAATAATCTTTGATTAAAATGTTTTATTAGCTCTTGTGAGGTCTGTTCTTTATTGAAGGAATGGATTACTTAATCTTTGACGCGGTCAATCAGAGACTAGGTTTTGTTTCTATTATATAATTCTATTGCTAAAACTATAATATGATCAGCAATGGCCTTTTTTGTCAAAGCCAGCAGGAAATAGATTTTAGATTGTTATTTTTAATGCAATAAAATTTAAGTTATTTATTCATTATTATAAAAATTTAACATCTTTTTCTTTTTTTCCTTGAGAAATTCTTAGGTTTTTAATTGTATGCTTTCTGATTGTTATCTCTGTTTCCTCTTTCAGTTGATATCGAATCTTATTTTACGGTGCTTCTGTGGTGAATGGTAAATGATGGATATTACAGAGGTTGAAGAGAACCTATTTGCGGCTAGTGATGCCAAGGTTTGAATATGATATCTGGATGGTGGAAATTTGAGTTATTGGAAATTGCATTTTTGTAGACTTGGATGTTTTTTGTGGCTATTTATCTTCACAACAATCTTTTATGCCATGTATTGGGGGTTATCTCAGCCAACTAGTCAACTGGTCACTTTCTTAGTATGTTGACACATAATTATTAATTTACTCATCACCACTCCCCCTTGCCAATCACACTTATTATGAAAGTCCCATGCATATTTTGAGGATTTCAGAACTCGCAATTAAGAAGCACAATGATCAAGTTGTTAAGTATGGTTATCACTGAGGTGGTATGTCTCTCTGTTCTGTGCACAAGGGTGCTTCTGGCCTATTTCACTTTGGGTCATGGTACTTATTGTAACTAGATTTTATATGGAAGTTTACTTTAACTCCCAAAATGGCTGCATTTAGGGAATAAGATATTGGCAAGGATTAGCACTTGAGGTTCCAATTTACAGTTTGAAATGAAAGTTGTTTTCTTTTTTGATTTTTGGACCTGGATAGTAGTAGAATTATTTAGTTCTTAGTCTTTTTCTAAAGAACAAAATTTGCTTAATGTTCATAATGCTTATCACTAAACTACTTCTTTCTTATGCAGTTACATGGAGAAATGTGCAAGACACTCTCTGCAATTTATTGCAAAGTTCTGTCGATATTCCCTTCCCTGGAAGCAGCACGTCCTAGGAGCAAATCTGGCATTCAGGCATTATGTTCATTGCACATAGCACTTGAGAAGACCAAAAATATTCTTCAACACTGTTCTGAGTGTAGTAAGCTTTACTTGGTAAGAGCTTTTAGTGTGTGTCTGTAACTTTGCGTGGTACCTTTTCCTTTATTTGAGAGATACTTTGTATGGGTTTCCCTTGTTGCACACGCTATTTTCTTCCCTCAGAATGCCTATAAATGTAGCTATTCTTATTGTGCAGGCTATAACCGGAGATTCCATTCTTTTAAAATTTGAGAAGGCAAAATATGCTCTTATAGATAGTCTTAGGAGAGTTGAAGATATTGTTGCACAATCAATTGGATCTCAGGTAATGATCTTCCCTCAACCTCCTTTGCAAAATTTTTTCAGTGATGTAACGGGGCAGCATTAACAGAGAAGTGTACTATCCTGTGGGACTGTTTTCCAGATTATATTCCTTAATGGCTAATGGTTGTGTTTCTATTTATATAAGATACCATTTTTCCCTGGTTATGTTTTATGTTTGTTCGTTATATAATTTCTTCTGATTGTATGGATAGAATTAACTATATTATTATAATTTTCCTCTGGGTATATTGTTTTGTGGTCTCTTTTGGTGTTTCTTCTGTGTATATTGATCACATCTTCCTAACTGTAGTAACTAAATTCCTTTCAGATTTTGGAGGTTGTTAGTGAATTAGAAGGTACAGTCTTCTCGCTTGATCCATCAGAGAAGCAAGTTGGCAATGAAATAATTGCGTTGCTGCAGCAGGGGAGAAAATTTGACAACCGAAATGACAGCAATGAGCTTGAATGTTTTCATCAGGCTGCTACTAGGCTTGGTATTACTTCTTCTAAGGCAGCACTTACAGAGAGAAGGGCTCTAAAGAAATTGATTGAAAGAGCTCAAGCAGAGGAAGACAAGAGAAAGGAATCGATTGTTGCCTATCTTTTACATCTCATGAGAAAGTACTCCAAGTTATTTAGAAGTGAGATTTCAGATGATAATGATTCACAGGGGTCAACACCTTGTTCCCCTACCATCCAGAGTTCCTATGAGGATGGTTGTTCTGCTGGAAATGGCCATGCTTTTGATCGGCAATTGTCAAAGCTCAGTTCTTTCAATTTTAGGCCAAACATTAGGAAATCTGGGCAGATACCCCTTCCCCCTGAAGAATTAAGGTGTCCAATATCATTGCAGCTTATGTATGATCCTGTAATTGTTGCTTCTGGACAAACGTATGAAAGGATATGCATTGAGAAATGGTTTAGTGATGGGCACAACACATGTCCTAAGACTCAACAAAGGCTCCAACATCTTTCTTTGACTCCCAACTACTGCGTTAAAGGCCTCATTGCCAATTGGTGTGAACAGTATGGAGTTCCTGTACCTGATGGTCCACCAGAGTCCCTTGATCTGAACTACTGGAGACTAGCTTTATCTGAGTCGGAGACTGCAAATTCAAGATCAATGGATAGTGTTGGTTCTTGCAACTTAAAGGGGATCAAAGTGGCTCCTTTAGAGGAGAGTGGCACCATTGAGGAGGTTGAAGAAAGAGGAACAGAAAATGAGTCAGCACAAGAGGAAGAATCTGAGCTCAGTGAGTTTGAAAGATGCCAGGATTTTATCACTATCTTGAATGAGGAAGAGAACTTGAGAAAAAAATGCAAAGTTGTAGAGCAAGTAAGGCTTATGCTGAAGGATGATGAAGAGGCCAGGATTTTTATGGGGGCTAATGGCTTTGTTGAAGCATTGCTGCATTTTCTAGAGTCAAGCATGCATGAAAATAATGCAATTGCTCAGGAAATTGGTGCTATGGCCCTTTTTAACCTTGCTGTCAACAATAACAGGTGTGTATCCATTCTTGGCTGTAAACTATTAAAAAACTGATTTTTTAATTTTTTTTTTGTCTTAATGTGGAAACTGCATTACATTGGTTTCCGAATTCTTTGCCTCTGTTCAATGCACTAGTTGAAGTGGAGCTAGGATTCCTTATGTTGATGGCTCTAAAGATTTGAGAACAAAGGGAGATAATTGTAAAAATGATAATCGGAACTTCATGCACGAGAAAATTTGTCAGTGACTCACTACTTGCCTTTTTTTGAGAGTGCTGTGAATATACTGTGTTTTGTTAGCTTTGAAGAAGATTTGTTCATAATTCACCAGTCATAGAATCAATTCTGTTTTGAATTTGATCAAAAATGCATCATTAGGAGAGAAGTTTGCTATATACCTTTCCTTTCTTAGCTATGAAACAAAACCTATCCAAAAAAAAAAAAAAACTATGAAACAAAAAGAAGGCAGTAAGAGATTTTTGGTTTCCATCCTTAACATCATTATCAGAGATATCTTTCTTAGCAATGGCCGATTGACAGCCAGCGTTTACCAATATTGTTTTTCAAATGGACAATTTCATTAAAAAATTATTTGGTAAACCATTTGAACAATATCTGGGTTGTCAAATTTATCTAGTTGTTTTGTTGGGATGCTGAATCTTTTGTTGACCATTCCCTTCTTTGATCTCAGGAACATAGAGTTGATGTTAGCAGCTGGAATAATTCCGTTGCTGGAGGAAATGATCTCCAAGTCTGATGCCCATGGGTCAGCAACTGCTCTCTATCTGAATCTTTCCTGCCTTGAAAAAGCAAAGTCTATCATAGGCTCAAGTAGGGCTGTTCCTTTCCTAGTCAAGCGCCTTGGAGGTGATGCTGAAGCACAATGCAAACTTGATGCCCTTCATGCCCTCTATAACCTCTCAACAGTTCCCACTAATATCCAAATCCTCCTTTCTGCTGGCATCATCAGTGGCCTCCAATCTCTTTTGCTTTCTGGTGACCACGCCTGGACAGAAAAATCCATTGCTGTTTTGCTAAATTTAGCTTCAAGTCATACAGGAAGAGAAGAGATGATATCAGCCCTGGGCCTCATAAGTGCACTGGCTTCCATAATGGACACTGGTGAGGCAATTGAGCAGGAGCAAGCAGTCTCATGTCTTCTGATTCTGTGCAACAGAAATGAGAAATGCAGTCAAATGGTCCTCCAAGAAGGTGTGATACCGGCTTTAGTATCAATTTCAGTGAATGGAACAACAAGAGGCAAAGAGAAGGCACAAAAACTTTTGATGCTGTTCCGGGAGCAAAGGCAACGAGATCCGTCACCTGCTGATATAGACCAATCCGTTGAAAGCTGCAACAAAGAGTCTCCGCCTGCTGCTAAGCCACCTGCTCCAGAAACAAAGCCGCTATGTAAATCAGTATCAAGACGGACGATGGGAAAAGCCTTCAGCTTTCTGTGGAGGAGTAAGAGCTACTCTGTCTATCAGTGTTAAATGGTCACCAGTGTAAATTTCCCTTGTGCATCTTTTCGATTTCTTCTGTCTGGTTCTGATGGGCATTATCGATTTTTGCCGTTCTCATAGAGAAGAAATGTACAGGCCCTCTATGGTTTTTTTGGCTGTCTTCTCCTTCCACACCTGTGTAGGAATACATGTATAATCTATCTCATAATCAAAAGTTCTTATTTATGAACAAATCTACAACGGTATCTAATGCGGTATTATTGATTACTAAAATTTCCACATGAAAACAAGATGATAATAATAATAATAATAATAATGATAATAATAATAATGATAATAATAATAATAATAATAATAACAATAAGAAAAGCAGGTTTTTCATCCTGTTGACTCAACTGTGTTATATGTATGGGTTTTAATGTTATGAGGTTGATGTCTTATTTATTTTCAAAAAAAATAAAATAATTTCTATTTATGAAGGAAGAAAAGGGGGCAAAATACATTTTTACTTAAAAAAGTTAATAACATAAATGCATTTACTTAAAAAAATTGATAAAACATAGTTTATTACTAATATTAGTAATATAATCTACTTTGTTATTATTATTATTATTATTATTTTTTATGAATTGGGAATATACCAATTTCAAATCTCCTTTTATTATTAAATAGTAAGTATTTGGTTTTAGTGACAGGAAGCCCGTCTAGCTCAGTCGGTAGAGCGCAAGGCTCTTAACCTTGTGGTCGTGGGTTCGAGCCCCACGGTGGGCGTTTAGTTTTTAACTTTGTTATTTTCCTCGCCAGTGCTTGAATCCGTAAATTACACATTTATCTGGTTTTTCAGGAACAGGACAATGATGTCCCTCATCAATCAATTTGACGTATAAATACATAGAAGTATGGCAAATATTCCATTACAATATTTAGAACACAAATCTGGAATTTTAATTTGTGTCGTCAACATATAGACAATTGATATGCTATAAATTAAGAAAAAAAATTCCATCAAAGTCTAACTTGATTTACAAGTGAGAAAAGTTATAAATAAGAATATCAATTTTATTTTTTTAATTAAAGAGATTAATTTTATTAGTTTTTAAATAAAAATGTTAATTTTTATTTTTTTATTTAAAAATATTAATTTTTAATTTTTTTATTTAGTTTAGATATTACTACAAACATCACAAATGGACATTTAAATAAAATATTAAAAATAAACATTCTTAAATAAAAAAAATAAAAGTTATAATCCTTATTTAAAAATTATTGTTAATATTTTTAAATTTTTTTATTTTTTTTATTTAAAAATATTAACTTTTAATTTTTTTTATTTAGTTTAGATATTAATACAAACGTCACAAATGAACATTTAACTAGACTATTAAAAGTTGATATCTTTAAATAGAAAAAAATAAAAGTTATATTCCTTATTTAAAAATTAACAATGTTAATATTTTTAAATAAAAAAATATAAGTCCAACCCACCAGGTCACCCCTTGAATGGGTGTGGTGGACATAATAACCTAGATTCAAATTCCAACCTTACTTTCCTTCCCCTATAAATTCTCCCTTGTTCAAAAATAAAAAAATAAAAAAAATACAAAATTAACATCTTAATTTGTATATTTTCTGATTCAGAGTTATGATAAGTTTTGTCTATTACCATAATTTTCCATCTAATTAAGCCCATTTAAGTATACGAAACTGATCTTGAAAGCATATTATCTCTGCCTTTGCTTGTAGGCCTCATTAGCCAAGTCGACTCAAACAGCTCTAGAATAGGATCACCACTCACCATGATATCCTTCTCTTCTCCTTCCTTAAAAGCCTCACCTTTCTTTCCAAAATCCTCTTTCTTTTCTTCATTCTTTGACATCCCCTTCTCCAACACCTCTTTATAAGTACCTTTCATAACCCGATTTGAGGACGATTCCACTGTATGATGATGATGAGCTTTGTTAATTGTTGTTGATTGATCCATGTACTCGTTGTAGTCTTTATCAATTCCAATTTCTTTTTCCTTTGTACCATGCAACCCCCAATATGTTAATATCGAGGTCAAGAAATTGAGCCAGGAGATGGTGTGAACCAATGTCCAATCCAACAATGGAACATGATGGATGATCATTGGGAATTTGTTCATTGCATCCTCAAATTTTGCAGGGAGAGTTTCGACTGTTCTTACAAAATCATCAGTTTTATCGAATATATGCTTTGTTGGTGGGAAAATATTTTCAACCTTGGATTCCAAAGCAAGAATGTAATCATCAAGGAAACTAATAATGACTAACAATTGGCATTGCAAGGCACAGAGAAGAGGAGAAAACGCAGCAACTAGTTTTGTTGTCTTCTTCATCATTGAACCTAATGGTCCGTTTAGACCTTGCGTTTTTGTGTAAACACTTTGTGCTATAGCATACATTGAAAGTCCACATGCCTCCAATGGACGACGACGTCTGCAACAACTCATTCTGCTGCCTGGCGCTGTTGATCCCTAATAAATTTAGCTCTTTTAAGTTTTAGGTTTTCTGCACTTCAATAGAGAAGAAGAATTCTGAATATGAAAAACAGAGAAGCAAACAGGAAATATTCTGTGAAAATCTTCTAAGAAAAATTTTCAAATTTTGATTGAAGAAAAATAAAAATCAAAGGCATTCTGTTTGTAAATTCGTATAAAAATTTATCAAAGGGAGTGGTTTAATATTTAAGAACATGAAATTTAAATATTAGATAAAGTGAAAGAAGAATTTAAGAAATAAAGAAGGTTGTATTTTTTATAAATTAAAAAATGCATGTAAAAATTCAAATAAGAAAAGAAGAGAGGAGAGAAGAATTATCCAAGAAAAATTCACTCTATAGACATTTAAAAAAAAATCGAAATAATATGAAAAAATTTGAGTAAAGATTCGTACCGCTGAAGAGAAATATTCCGCAAAAATTCAATTGCCCATCGAAATGTTCCTCCCTTGGAGAAATTAGAAGGAAAAGATTTCTTAAAAATTGCAGAAAAATAGAAAATTTGCTGACGAATTTATAAAAAAGTGGAGAACTGGTTTTAGGAAAGAATTAGATCATTAAACAAAAATGAAACAAAAAGGAAAACCAACGGTGAAATGAAGGAACGGCTCTCGTAGATTTAGCAGGAATATGTCATGGCTAAATTTGAAGCAAATAAGCACAGATTCTTAGCCGTTCAACTAAAGGTTATTTTTTAATTTTTTTATTTTTTTTAATCTTGATTGTATATCAATAAGCAATTATCTCTCATTCCTTATTTCACCTCTATTATGCGACTTAAACTTATGATATATTACTTTTAACGAAATGAAATAATCACTGAATTACTTAATTCGTTGACGTTATTTTTTAACTTTTTAGAGACAATTATTAGTTTTAATTAAATAATTAGATATATTAAATTATAAATATTAATAATTATTAATAACGAGATATTAATTAACAACCCTTTTTATCTGAAAAAATTAGTTCAACCAGGCACTTCAACAGAGTTTAAGTTCAGCTTATGTGGCACCTAAAAATTGAATAAGCAATTTCAATCCTTAAATTGGTCAAATTTCAAATAAAATTAGTTTCTAAACTTTGAATTAATTAAAAATAAAAAAAAATAAATATCACATAAATACCAATTGTTAGATGGAATTCTCTCGTTCTGCTTTATGTTGATATGAGTTATCAAAAGATCGAAGCTCAGTCCTATCCAAAGAGTAAAAAAATAGAAATATAAAATTAAAAGATAAAAAAGAAACAAAGTAATTTCAATATTACAAACACAGCTCTTTGTGTAGTCGACTAGTCGAAGACCAAAAACCCAAAGACAAGTAAAATGAAGCTCAAATCTTGGCATCAAACTCCCAAAATTAAAATTAAACAAGTTGATTGAAAAACAACAATACGATCATCAATAATTATTTTATTAAAAAGGTAATTAAAAATAACGTATTGTGCGTTTATACGCTTCTAATTTAAAAGCCTCCTCCTAAGAACTCGTGAGGTGTGGTTTGTGTTTATTTAAGATTTAATTTTGTTTGCATAAACAATTTTCAACCACACAATTGCTTGTGTTTCATTTATTTGGAAATTTTAGTTTTATTTGCTTTGTTACTCACAGAATTTTAGTTTTATTATAAAAATATTTAAAATATAAAGGGTTTTTTTAGCACAGAATCTTAAAAGAATAAAACATAATATTTAATTAAATTTATTCACATTGTATTAATTTTAAAATTAAGATTTATTTTATATATTTTTTTATATAAAATTATTGTAAAATGATACTTTTAATTTGTATCTTAAGATTATAGGCTAAAAAAAACTAAATATAAATAATAACCATAAGCCATTGACAACTTGTTTTTCTCACTATTTAAGTTGTTAACCTAAACGTCTAATTAAAAGAGAACTTTACAAATTAAGTTTGTACAACTTTCCAATTGCAAATAGTCCTTAAATTAAAGTTCATTTTTTTGCAGGAATGGTGGATGGTTTTGGGGGGATTTTTAAAACTAGACAAATAGTGGGTGGATTTGGCACTAAAGAAAACGCAAAGGGCTTATTTGCTAATAGTCAACAAATTTGAGAACTAATTAATTTATCATCAGTTAATCCTGGGAAAATTTGTTTCATTCTAGGGTATGTACAGAATTGATCATCCTGAATTGAAATCTGAATGAAAAGGAAAATTGCTTATGAAATCAAAAGGCATCGAGTTCGAATTCTAATTCGATTCTCTGAAATATGTGGTTATCATTTTCAGCCTCAAGATTTAAAAGTTATTCTCAGGTAATCTTTACATCTTCGTCCGTTTATTCTTCGGAATCGGAACCGGCGAACTGCCGTCCATCGATGGTCGAAACCTGCATTTCTTTAAACGTTTTTTAGAGAACGAAAAAATGCCGACGCTGGAGTATTCGCTTGGTACCGGCACCAGTCGATATGAAACAATTCGTATGTGCGGATAAATTTGTGATTTGTTTGGCAAATTTTTCATTTGGTTCAAAGAAAGGAAGAATCTAAGTACAGTTTGATGCTTTTCTTGAATGTAATGCGAAGCCTTTGCATGACTTCGTGGCTGCGGTTATTGACTGATCGTTATCTCTTTTTTCTTTTTTTTTTTTTGGATTTTTGTAATGTTTTTTGTGCTTTATATGGATTTTGAGGATGAGGAAGGTCTGATTTGTTTTACATATCTTGAAATTTTAGCGAAGATTGTGTTTGATTTGTGTAATGAATGCATTTTCAATTTTGTGTATTTGAACTCTTTGTTTAATACAGGCATAACTGGAGATGGAAGGTGTTTGTTCCGTTCTGTGGTTCATGGTGCGTCACTGAGAACTGGGAAGAAATCTCCTAGTGAAAGAACCCAGAAACAACTTGCAGATGAGCTCAGGGATAAGGTACTAGACCCCGACCTGATTTCATATGGTGGCTCATGCTATTTCTCAAATCTTCAGCTTTTAATTATGTTATTTCGCCAAACCATTTCATATGGTCTTTAGAGGTTGAGAAATCGCAACTTCCCATCAAGCATTATTAGGATTTTGGTTCGATCGGGTAGAATTCATGAATTTGTTGTTTGTGAAAATGTTTTCATTAGTTGTGAGAGGGTTTACTTTCATAAGATCTTTTGCCTAATTTGAATTAATATTTGTGTCCTGTTTTCCATTGCCTATTGTGACAAATGCATTTTCGGTATTGCTTTAAATTCCCTTCAGTCCTTGATTGGATTCCAAATACAAGTTTATTTATTTATCATTTTTTTACTAATGCCTCTCATTCCCTTCCATCTTATTCTGTTTTGAGTTTTGATCTGTTCAGGTTGCAGATGAATTCATCAAGAGGAGAGCAGACACAGAATGGTAAGTTTTATGGCAGATTCTTGGATGTGGTTATGGACATTCATGTTAAGTAATTTTTAGGGATTTGCCAATTAAGGAAGAAGGTTAGGTCATTTGAATTTGTGAACAAGTTTAACAATCATATTCATTTGATGAAAAATTCAAAGTTAAGGCTTCAACATGAGCAGAAATCCCTTTACTGTTTTCTTTTTCTTACATTTTTTTCATGCAAAATATTCTTACTATTAACTCAGAAGTTTATAGCTGTAACCATATGGCAAGCCTGCCAATCTTGATGAGTGGATGGTTTCAGGGATTCGTGCAACTAAATCTTCATGTATTTGGCAGGTTTGTTGAGGGAGATTTTGAATCATATGTTAGGCGGATGAGGCAGCCACATATTTGGGGAGGAGAACCTGAGCTGCTTATTAGCTCACATGTTCTAAGGTATGTTGTTTCTCTTCCCTTTTCCTTTAGCTATCTGCTTTGAAGCTTGTCCCAAGAGTATACAATTTTTGTTAACCAGCATTCATGCTCAATGTACCTGGTAGGAGAGATGTAAACACTTACTCATATTCATTAAAAGAAAAATACAGATTACATTTTCAATCAACAGCTTATGTATTTTACCTTTGTACATAAGTTGTCCTAACAATCTCCTAAGGTGGCCGTGCCCCTGCTAATTATAACATTCAGCTATTTCTACAAAATCAAAATTGAGAATTCATGCATATTAACTCATGGATACAATACAAGTAAGTCGATACACACTTTCAATTTATGAATATTTGAAAATTTTCATATTTATCACTTGTGAATTGTTTAGGATGCCAATCACAGTCCACATGCATGAGAAAAATTCTCGCTGCCTCAAAATCATAGCTGAATATGGTCAAGAGTATGGTAAGGAAGACCCCATCCGAGTGCTGTATCATGGTTATGGACACTATGATGTATTAAGGAGTCCAATCAATGGTGGCTTATCCAAACTGTAAGATATCTTGTTCTTTCCCCATATTGGCAAGGCTGCATATCATGTCCACATATTTATTGCTTTTTGCACCCTGTACAAAGAAGAAATACATGAGGCTGGATGTATACCAATCAGTGTCTGAAATGGAATTCATTGCATGCGAGTCTTGTGACCCTGCCTTATCTGGCAAATATTCAACCTGATTCTATGTAGATTATGACTTGTTTTCAACATGATAAGATAACAGATTTTTGTGCTGGTATTGGCAGGTGGACAAAAAGATGACTGGCCACTGCTGCAATAGTTGTAATGGAAGTTCTGAAGTTGGATAACTTCAACTGTGTAATTGCATTGTAATCAGTAATCATGTTCAAACTCCTGAACTGTAGTCTTTCATGAATGTCAAAATATCCTGGACTCCCCCTATCAGAGCTGAAGGTTCAATTGCAAATGGTGTGCTGATGCCATGGCATCATACTCTTATCATCTCGATAAGGATTGAATGCGTTCGAAGCACGGCCACGTGAAGTCAGCTCGCGCTACTTAGAGGAATGAATGGGAGTATGTTGAGTCTGTAGGCCAAGGACCTCCAATTCAGTACTTAATTATCTGGCTTATGTAACTAAAAATAAAAAAAGTGATTTTTATATATAATTCTTTTACACAACATTATATGTCATATAATAATTGATATTTTTTTTTTTTTACTTTATTAAGATTTGTATGCATATAGTTATTTAATAATTTATAGAAGTTATAAATAAAAATTGTACAAATGAATTTTAGCTTGTCATGAGAAAAAATAGGAGGTTAAATTTAAATTTATTTAGATTTTTTCAAAATATATCTATTAAAATAACTAAGAAAATAATTTAAAAATAATTTTTTCATATTACTTTTTAATATAATTTTATGTGTTAATTAAATAATTAAATATATTTATTCATTTAATAATATATAAAAATTATATAAAAAATAATTAAAAATTTTATACTTATATCACCGCGCCAAATGACTAA